CGATGTTTTGGCGACTTGCCATGATCAAATAAATGTAGGAAAAATCAGTGGAACAAAGAGGTGGCGTCGCCGTTAAACCGAATATCGGGATGAGCCTGAGCAGGCCCACGCGGATATTTGAGAGCCTCTTGACAGCATAATTGGGCCCTCCTGGAGCCATGTTTGAGGCTTTCGGGGCTCCCTCTGGGCCCTCTTGGGCCCCCGGGCCCTAGCAGACCATCGACTACAAAAGAGGTAGCGTCAATTGCGAGAACGTGGACTAGAGGAGAGGGAGGATATCGAGGACGACAAGGACGAAGAGGACGAGGATGAGGACGACGCGAACGAGAGTGAAAGCGAGGAGCACAAATACGAGGAGAAGGAGGAGGAGGAAGAGGAGCATTACGAGGACGAGGACTCTTGGATGCATCTGGTGAGGACGAGGACGAAGGCAAGGACGAGGATAATAAGGAGGAGGAGGACAATGACGACGAGGCGGAGGACGTAAACGATGACGAAGAGGAGGGCAAGGACGAAGACGAGTAGGAAGAGGACGAGGGGGAGGACGAGGAGAAAGAGGAGGACGAGGACGAGGACGACGAGGTGGAGGAGAAGGAGGAGGATGAGACACTGGCAGCGATCTCGAGATTTTCTGGAGGCCCTCTTGGGCTCTCTCGGGGCCATCTTTGGCTTATTGGAGAGATTATGAGGTTATGCGGTTCCTCTTGTGTTTTTTTCGAAAGTCCTGGAGCACACTTGGACTTCCTTGGGCATATTGGGAACACAGAGTTGCCTCTTGGGGTCATCTTGGAGGTCGTCGATCGAAAGAGAGGGGGTCATCGATTCACCCCCTCCCTCCTTGGCCATCAGAACCGCCTTTCGGGGCCCGCGGGGCGCACTTGAGGCGCTTAGGAATGCCTATTGGGCCTGTTCGTCCAAGCCGGTGGGAGGCCGACATCCAAAGAAGCGACGTAACGAAACGGAGTCGACCTGGACATTCGCGCGTAAGTCACCAGCGTAAGGTCGCAAGTAAGCGCTCACTTTCACGCGGTGTGCCGCGCTGGCAGCACGCGCAAACCACCGCGTAATGTGGCCTCATCGCCATGCATAATGCCCGCTTCTGTCCGTCACCCAGATGTTGTCGCATGCTCTTTCTGCTTTCTTGCAGTTCTCGCCTTTTTGCGGAGGTCCGCGTCCACCTCCAGCCCCTGAGTTGTGTTCCATCGGCTGCGCCTCGTCGAGGGCTTTCCTGTGGCCCAGAACCGTTCCGAACGACCGCCTTAGGCCCGAATTGTGGCTTGAGGACCGACCAAAGGGAGAAAGAAAGGGCCCTGAGACGCGAGCGTCGTCAAGACGTTGCAACTGGCACGTCTGCCCCACTTAGAGGCACCCGAACCCTCACCGTCCGATCTGATTGGGTCGAGAGCTCGGGACGTGCTCTTCCGTCTTATCCGTGCCAAGCCACTCTGGACACCTAGTGTCACTTCCCAGTTTGAATATGTCAGCTTGTGTGGTACAGGCTGGTCGCGTGGATCTAGCTCTGGGCGTGAGCCTCTCGTCGTTTCCTCCTGGCGAAAGGCAAGGTAAAGCATGCGCACGGTACGATGACCCGACGCCGATCGACTATGTGCACATCGTCGGGGCAGGGTGATCTCTCGTTGTGTAATTGCGTGGCCAGATGGAGGTATTGAGCCGTTCATGTTCAGCGGTATCTTGTGACGAATCGCAGCGATCAGGAAGATAAAAACCAGGAGCCCTGCCCAACGCAAGGCCACCCTATCGCGAATGACCGACGCGGTCGACAACCAATGCTTGTTATTCTGAAGACAATGTGTGCGAAGGATGAGTCAAGAGCGGGCTCTTGGGCCGCGAAGGATGAGTCAAGGTGTGCGAAGGATGAGTCAAGATGTGCGAATGGCTCAAGAGTTACTCAAGGGCCGGCCCCAACTGCCCGCGCACAGAGCGGCTGCTGGCTACGTCGACTCCGACCTGGACGTCGACAGCTTGGATACCCCGCCGCCGAAGATCGCGCCGGCTCTGGTGCTCGCTTGTCGGGTCCGCTGTTCCGGGAGTGGCTCGAGCAGGAGACCCTCCGCCTTTTCGATCTCGTCCAAGCCGCGGCACAGACCCGGACGGACGGCGACGGCATCGCGGTCGAATACCCGTCGGACTGGCGGTCGCTCAAGAATATCCCTCACAAGCTCGGCTACGCACCGTCCGCGTCGGACCCGTGGCAGCAGCTGGGGTATGCAGCGCTGGAGGGCCCCGCG